CTGAGCTAAGCTGGCCCAAAGTGCTGCTCAGAGCTGATGTGTCTGCTCCCTCTTCATAGGGGGGAAGAGGGGTTTCTTCTGTGAGGGGAAGTTCAGTGCTGAGCTTCTACAACAGCCTGTCAACCCCAAAGGAGGCTGTGGAAATTAGGACTGTCGGGGCGCCAAAGGATTAGCGACCCTCTCGAAAACCTGACCAGGATTAAAAATGAAAACCTCACAGGACATTGCCAGGGCGTTGGAGCCACTCTTCCTGTCTGCTCAGGGTGCTTCTGCCTCTCACGAGTCTACTTCTGCTTTTACTTAAATAAACTATCTTTTTCTTTAAACAACAACAACAAAACCTGAAGAATATTATATCAAAGATGGTGGAAAGTTCTTTGGCTCCCATGGCTGGGTGGCCTCAGCCTCCAATGGAGGAAGACCTCAAAGAGAACTTGCCAACACTGAGCTCACAGACTCCAGAGCACAGGCTGCGAAGGATGACTGCAGGATCCACTTTGGAGGTCTTTAAAAATAGGCTGACTCTCTTTGTTCTAAAATGATCTGGAATGACAGCCCATTCAAAAAGATGACTCTCTGTGCTCTGAAATGATCTGGAATGACAGCCCATTCAAAAAAAAAAAGAAACTAAAAACAACTAAAAACATCCACAAAGCTCTTTATTTACACCAACCCTTGATTTTAAGCTGTTTCAGATTTGGTACAAATCCCACATTCTTCGATTTTCTGTATGGTATTAAATACATATTGAAGATGCCTTGCAACGTGCCCAAATACTGGAGCTCCAATGTGGAGGAAAAAAATTAATATTTGTCTGGGAATCCCAGAGAGATAACTTGGCATGGAAAATTGTGTTCACCACACAAATGGAAGTTCAAAATTTACCTCGGAGGGACTGATGGGATTTCCCCTGTCAGTAACATCCTACCTCATCTCACTTACGAGGGAGTTGGTAGCCTCTGTACCCTCTTTTCAGGGTCCTTCCTACTTCTTTACCTCTTTCTTTGTCTAGTTTCCAAAGCTTCCAGAAGATTCTCCTGGTGGGTTCTTAATTCCCGACTTCCGTTTACCTGGGAAACATGGAGGCAGGAGAGAGGGAGGCTGCCGGGAGAATCTTGACCCTGGGACTCCCTTCATGTCTCCTTGCCTTCTCCAGTCACAGCTGTGGACCTTCGTTCTCCACATTTGGCCAGCTGTTCTGAGCCAAAGGTAGGCCATGGAATCTGGCAAGGCCAGGTGCACTTATGGGCACAGGGGGGCAGTCTACTTGAGACCGGCTCTGTCCCAGGGAATAGCAAATCCAAGTTATGGGTCACACACTAAGCCCCTACCTCAGAACTCAGCAACGTGCTGGCTTATTTTCTAAATCTTGTCAGTAAGGCAAGGGTTTCGCATACAAACTAATTCACGTGTGGGTGTGGCCATGTTAGTCATGACACAGGGTACCGAGTAACGGGAGAGACATTTTAAGATGTGCACCCCCCCACCCCCAGGCATGCTCCCCAGAGTAAGTAGCATCCTTGTCTTCCTCCACAGCCTGTCTGGAGTCTGTGAGTTCTCTAGGTTGGTAAGGATTCATCCCACCACCCCAAATGCAGTAAAAGTTATTTCTGCCTTTCCAGGACAAGCACGAATGCATGGTTGAGGAGTAGACAATGGAATGTTCCACATGCATTTAACTTAAATATTTATTAAGTTGTATTTATTCTATTTGAGAGACAATGTCATTTTCTCCCTCAGATCTCACTTGTAGGGATTTCAAAATTTTTTTACCTCAAGCGCTGCCTGTGGGTTCTAGGGGCTGAAATGCCATGGACAATGAGTGCCATCTTAGAGGACCAGGCACGGGAGAATACACACCCCTCTTTAGCATATCCTCTGCAAATCCCAGACATTTTAACAAGCCCGTGTTTGTGGTGGTGGGAGGGAGGCATGGGCTGCTGGAGGAGGGCACCCCCAGTGTTTTCAGTGAGCAGTCATCCTGGCTATTCTATTTGGAAGTGAATGAGACATATTCAATAAACGCTAGTTAAAGGGGAGAAAATGTTGTAAGGCCTGCCTTTATTTGGGGAATAGTTTTTGTTTTATTTTTAGGGAATGCAAGTATTCACGAATGCTTCCCCATTGATGGGTTCAATGACTGTCACTTGGCCATGCGTATGGTTTCCTCATCCAAAGTTTTCCACCTGAATGTTCTCAGGGCCTTCACTATTGATGTGAGACTCTTGTAAGGAGTAGAGGGACCGGCTAGTTGAACTTCGATGATGGCGTTCATTGTAAAGGTACACAAGGAAAGTAGGAAGACAGAAAAGAGCCTCAAGGAATATATGGTTATCCACCCAAGAATGTTTATTGGAAAGTAGGAAGACAGAAAAGAGCCTCAAGGAATATATGGTTATCCACCCAACGAATGTTCATTGAGCAGCCACCGTGTGCCAGGCTGTGCTCTAGACTTTGGGGATTCCCTTGCCCCCAAGTGAGGGCGAGCAGAGAGTAAACAAAGGGCATAACTGAGCAAGGTCATTTCAGATGGTAGTAAGTGCATGAAGAAAAGGAGCTGGTGGCGCGATAGAGGGACAGGGAGGGCCAGTAGGTGGCATTAAGGTGCTGGATTCCCACTTGGTCGACCAACTGTAGTTTGAGTCCTGGACCTGGCAGCTTGCTTTCTCACTTTCTCTCTCTCCCAGTAGCAAATCAGTAATAATAATAATGATAATGATAAATAGAATTAATTTTTTTTTTAAAAAAAAAAAGAGAGACAGGGACAAAGAGTGTGATGCTACATAAGATCATTACACGGTCCAGGAAGACTTCCGAGGAGCCAGCATTGTTACCAAGCCGTGAAAGTTCTGAAGCAGTTGTCTGCAGGACAGTCTGAGGACAGAGACTTGCAGGTACAGGGGACAACTGATAAGATGGCCCTTAGATTAAGGATGTGGACAACATCTTTAGAGGCGGGATACATAGGACCACCTCCCAGGCAATAACCGTAACGAGGCTTTCTATGAAGGCCTTAGTTCTTAGCTACAGCACTGAACTTTTCACGGAGTCTGACCCTGTAGATCTAAGCACTTAGAGGTCAGCTGTCCAGGCCAGCAGGGGATGTGGAAGTTAAGGGGCCTGGATCCCACGTTGTTGAGTGTATGGTTTGACTGTCAGACCGGGCAGCTTGAAAATCACTCCGGGCACATGTGCATGTGTGTCCCAAATCCCAAGAGAATAGAGGAGAAGGGATTGTGGAGAAGGGATGTGACCACCCTCTAGTTGGTGAGGTGATTTCTCGCTTTCTGTGTGTGTGTCTGGTGAGCATCTACACCCTTCAGGAAAACACTAGAAATAAAAAATAATCATAAGTCAGCCATTCAACAGAGCGTCTTCTGACCGGCTTTCTTCTTTCAACGGTCGCAGTTCTCTCTCATCCCACACGCTCTTTGGCAGTGCGTCCTGGCCATTTCCTCTTCCCTGGGTCTGGGCTGGTCATGTGACTGGCTAGAAAACACAGTGGAAATACTCTAAGAGGACTGGACGTCCACCTTTATCTGCCTGAACGTCCTCCTTGGAATCCAGGTACCATGCTGAGGAATCTCAGTCGGTCAAGTGGGAGTCCCACATGGATGTGTCCCAAATCCCAAGAGAATAGAGGAGAAGGGATTGTGGAGAAGGGATGTGACCACCCTCTAGTTGGTGAGGTGATTTCTCGCTTTCTGTGTGTGTGTCTGGTGAGCATCTACACCCTTCAGGAAAACACTAGAAATAAAAAATAATCATAAGTCAGCCATTCAACAGAGCGTCTTCTGACCGGCTTTCTTCTTTCAACGGTCGCAGTTCTCTCTCATCCCACACGCTCTTTGGCAGTGCGTCCTGGCCATTTCCTCTTCCCTGGGTCTGGGCTGGTCATGTGACTGGCTAGAAAACACAGTGGAAATACTCTAAGAGGACTGGACGTCCACCTTTATCTGCCTGAACGTCCTCCTTGGAATCCAGGTACCATGCTGAGGAATCTCAGTCGGTCAAGTGGGAGTCCCACATGGAGGAGAGCTGAGGCCTCCACCAACAGCCCAAGCTGACCCTGCACCAACTGCCAGCCATGTGACCGACGTCATTTAGGACCTTTAGGGCCTTCTAAGTATTCCATGACTCCAACCAACCCCAGTGAGGCATAGGAACACCTGGTCAACCGCTGCTCCGTTCCAGGTCCCTGAGTTTAAGGGTTGTTTATGCAGTAAGAGTTAACCCTGTAAAGGGACAAAGAATAGATGATTCAGTGCTCACACTTGGCCTTAGAGAGCCTCAGAATCACATACAGAGTAAAGTCTGTAGGCCTGTGAAAACTGAAAGTAAAATTTTCATTTTGCTTGATACCTGCTGCTTTTTGGAGAATCATTAGGAGGAAATGCCTTTATACCCTAGTGACAGGAGGGCCAGACCACTCTGACCCTTGCCCAGGGGTAGTGATGATGGGGCAGAAGACTGCAGGGATGCAAGAAGGAGAGGGCGAGGGCATACGTGAATTCAGGTGTACATGGGAAACACCGAACCTTCGACATTTAGATCCGAAAGTTCAGAATTTTAAGTTGTTATTGTCAGGAAGTGTGTGCCTGCACCCGAGAGACAGAGAGAGAGAGAGGAAAAGGGAGAAAACACTACCTAGTGGGGTGTGGTCACCGCAGTTCCTTCCCTACTTTTCCACCCTGTCAGGGTCTGGGCGTGTGTGCACACGCGCTGTGTGTCTTCCAAGCTGCTGGGGCTGGGATACGTGGTTGCATATGTGGGGTCCGACCCCCTTAACCCTTAGGCTATGAGGCCAGCCCTGAAGGTTCAAAGGTAGGGACGTTTCCTGTAGGTGAGGGAGTTCCGTGGGTGTTACTGCGTTACTCAGATGCGGACTCTTCAAACAGGGACATGAGAGACCTGCGGTTCTCTCTCTCCCTTTCTCTTCAGCTTTCTGCTTCTCTTTCCTTTGCTCACACGATTTCTTTTCTTCTCTTTTATTGTATTAGAGGAAACAACAAAGACGTCCACACCTGTTATTGCACTTAGGCCTGAAATTCAGAGAGTTGGCATTTACCCAAAGTCAGCGTTTTGGAAGAAGTTTGAACTAAGTCATTCATGCAATCTTGAATTTCAAGTACGAAAAATCCCCACAGTTTTCCACTTAAAAAGAAATAAAAAGTTTGACAGCTATGTACCGAGAAGTTATCACACATTGGAGACTGTCAGCTTCCAACTTGGCAGGCTACAGCAATCACCGAAGGGGAAATTCAAGTCCAGGGCGACTCAAGTAGCCCAAACTCGTAACGTGTTAAAGGCATGCTGACCAGAGCTCGTGCAGGGTGTGGGCGGATGAAAGCTTGCCCTCCAACTGACCTGTCACTGAGCAGGGGCCTCGGGACAGAGCCCCGCAACTCCCGTCCGGATAATTGTGACCACCTCGTAACTGGTCTCCTTGATTCGGATTTACGTATTTTGAAATCATAAATCTGGTCAGTTAGTTTTCCCGTTTACAGACCTGCAGTGTCTCTCCATGGCCCTCCAGAGAAATCAGCACTTCTCGGGCAGATCATCAGAGCTGACGGACACGAGCCAGTTCTGATTCTGGCCACATCTCCAAGCTCACACCCTTTCCTTGGTCGCACAGAACTCTGTGGTGTTCTGAGATTGTTCATCGCTCTCCAGCACAAGCCCTTGTACATGCTGTTCTTTCTGCTGGGCCAGACCTCATTTCCAACTCCGCTTTGTCCACCAAGAGTCAGCTTAGCTGTCACCTCTTCCAAGAAGGACCAGGACTACCTCCTCGAAATTCCCATAGCATTCAGGAGTTTGTTACTCAGTTTGTGTGTATCTCTGTGACCAAACTGTGACCCTCCTAAGGGCAGTTAGCATGCTATGGTTGACTTTTTAATCCTTTAAAACGTAGCATGAGCAGGCTGTCCTCCTGGGAGGCACGATCTGCCCTCGAAATCCTCGAGGATCATGGTCCAGATTCCTCATGTGTGAGATTAAATGCTCTCAGGAGGGGATGGAGATGGTGAGGACCTGAAGTGGGCCCTCTCCCCCAAGGTCAGGACAGGGATTGATGCCGGGAGGGTGTCAGTGTGCAGACAACCTCGGTCAATGGCCCCGTATCAGTGGATCCTGAGAACCCCCCGACGGATTGCACAGGGCAGGCTCTGGCCAATGGGAGGAGAGCGTAGAAACATGGCTAAGATTTTCCTCTGCACGCTGTCTACTTAGTCAGCTGTCCAAACCTGACATATCCACTCATTTCTGTATTTCTTCTGAAAGTTTAACTTCTGCCATCCAGAAATGCATTGAAGGAGGAATCCAAGACTAGTTATCCGCTTTTTAATAATAATACTATTATAAATGACGAGCTCTAATTCCTCTCTCTCCCTCTGTCTGCCTTCTCTGCTATCTTTATTTGTACTTCCCTGAGCTAGACTTGTGCTCTGGCCAATGGAATGTGGGTAAAAGTGATGGTATGGCAGATTCAAGTGCAGGTTTGAATTCTGCTGGTCTTTCTTGCACCTCTGCCATTACTATGCCAGGTAACTGCCATCCTCGGGCAACAGTGAACATGCACTGGGCAGACGGAGGCCCCAAATCTATGGCGAGCCAAGCCCAGCTGGACATTCAGCTCAAAACAGAGCCATCCTAGATCAACAGACCTACATCCAATCTTCAGATACAGAGTAATGAGTGTTATTTAAATCAGTTACTTGTGGGTTGGTTGTTATGCAGCAATAACTGACTGGTACAAGTAATAATAGCCTATAATTTGCCTATAACTTGTCTGAGGTCACTCAGCTAGTGATTGATACAGATAGGGTTCAAATCTGGCTCTAAACTCTATGTTCCAATCATTTCCTTATACAACCTTGAGCAACAAACCTGATTAACATTCTGATGAGTTCTTTCCAGGAAGAGATTTTTATTTTGGACTGAAGAGAAGATGAGAAAAAACATAGGTTTTTTTTTTTCACCATATGGATTTTAGGAAAGAGGAGAACTACACTCATACTGGAATTTTCACTTGAGAAAAGTTCAGTCAGGGCCCTCCAGATCCCCCAGAGAGGGTGCAAATATACACTATTAAAAGCAGAAGATCGAAAGGAAAACAGGATTCGAGATCTAAAGTGGCGGTATGAAGCAGGAGGCTGAATGGAAGACTGTAGAAGTGCGTTGGTTGTGCTAGAATTTGCCACCCCTACGAGCTTTGTGACCTCCCCGTGCCCCAGATTTCTCCTCTGTGAAGTAGAGCCGATGGGAGTAAGTACTTCAGAGGGCTGTTGAAAGCCTCAAAGAAGTCCGTCTACGCACAGTGCTGAGAAGGGTGTCTGGCACCTTTCAAGCAGTTTATATGTGCTGGCTTAGTGCTGCCTTCAGAAGGGAGCACCGTACTTTTAAAAAAAATTTTTAAAGAAGTATTTATTTAATTTGATTTATTCATTCATTTATTTTTTAATTTGGCCAGAAAGAGACACTGAGAAAGAGAAAGTGAGAAAGGAAGCCACCAGGTCCGGGACTCGAACTATGGTAGGCCATGTGGGAGTGTCCAGCACCTTAACCACCATGCCACCTGCTGGTCCCATGGGAGCACCAGACTTAACATCTCCCTGACAGTTCCCACACTACATTGTGATGGTTTTGTGTCAACCTAGCTATTTGAACTACTTTCCCCAGAATTCCCTTTTTTTAAACATTTTTTAAATTTCATTTTCTCTTTTACATTCAATCACATTATTTAGCTTACAAACTGGATATTTCAACATGTGAACATTTCTCCCCAGTCCTGTTGATAAAACTATAAAAGTATCTTCAGCTGTTAATACCACATTTTTTTGTCCCATTAATGATTTGCTTCTCTATTTTTCTTCTAAATATCCTTCCTCAAACTCTACTCTTTCACACACACTGTATCTGGTATTTACATCCATTTACTGTGTTTCTACATCCTTTAGTCAGTCAGTTTCAGTCATAGGGTGCAGGCACTCAGTATATGTTAAGTGGGGACATACAATGTCTCTCCTTCATAGCCTGGCTTGCTTCACTCAGCAGTAAATCTTCCATATCTGGGCTAGGATCGCCATACGAGAAATTTCCATGAAATTTGGAAGATGGAAGGGAAGCGACCACCATTACTGTCAGATGGTCGGAGGAGGGGAGAAGGTGGCGCTGTGGACCCACCTCTCCTGCATGGAGTGTCAGCCAGCCCACGGCTCCTCCACTCCTTCAGGATCTCCCCTGTGGCTTCTCCGCGAAGTTCCAAGGTGAACATCCTAGCTTGCAGGTCACTCCCATGGTTGTGGCTGAGATGTGGGGGGCAGAAACGGGCTGGTCCTCGTGGCTTTCAGCATGTCCTCCCAGTCTCAGCTATCCCTGTTCTCCCCCACTTCATGTCCAGCTTCCTTCAAGCTGTCAGGACCAGGACTGCTGAGCTGCCGACCACCAGATGTCGAGGTAGCAGCCTTGCCTGGACCACCTCCCTGGCTCCCACCATTACGCGAGGCCTAGTTCCCATAGTAAACCTATGCTTTTCTGCGTCAGTATTGTGTATCTGTCCTGGTGGAACCTTGTCTGACACACGCTTCTCTCGTGGCTGGATATCGTGGAAGGTAAGATCATGCTGTCATTGAACACAGGATTTTTTTTTTAAGAATTGTTTATTTAATTTTATTCATTCATTTATCTTAATTTGACCAGAGAAAGACAGAGAGAAGGAAAGTGAGAAAGCAAGCCACCAGCTCCAAGACTCGAACCGTGGTCAGCCATGTGGGAGTGTCCAGAGCCTTAACCACCGTACCACCTGCTGGCCCCGAACGCTCAGTATTCTTATAAAGAAAGTTTGCATTGACCTTAACTCTCAGCGTCTGGGCTTCCAACCACCATTTCCTGCCCCCCCTCCCCCGCCATCTTCCCAGAACTTGTTGCTTGGAGGACTTTGAGCAAGAAATGTGTATTGACTGTTGAAATCCCCAGAGAGAAAAATGTAGCTAATTCTTGGCTTCAGAGCACCGATGGGTGAGGTTAACCACAGATTTGTCATCCGATTTAAAAATCAAAGCAGTAGAATTTCCCTAAAAAACAGAAAAAGTCGATTTAGTTCTGTATTGCTATTTGCACCGTTCTCCAGAACGAGTTGTACAGAGCAACATGAATGCTATGAAGCCGAGTCCAAGTGGAACACAGAGTTCATAATAAGAGGATGTTGTCCACGCAGGAGAAGGGCCGCCAGGCCGCGTCGAGTCGCAGAATGAAAACAAGCCCCATGTTTGTGTCAGATACACGATCGTCGTCCAAGCCTAGAAGTTTAGGAAGTGACTCATCTTCAGGAATGGGCACAGAGTGAAGGCAACGGTTACCTCAGCCCTTTGGTGTTTGACACATTCTTTTTGTCCCTTGTGACTTGGCCACGGGGGAAGCTGCTGTGGCCTCGTGGGCTGCCCCTCTCTTGCCCAGGGTGCCTGTGCTGTCCGCACTGCCTCCCGCTGACCTTTGGTGTGACCATTCTCTAAAATCAGTGGATTTCCTGGTGGGTGGAGAGAAAAGATTTCAGGAGGCCTCCCTGGCAAGAAGGGCCCGTTGTTAGGAACTTTGGATCTGAGATGCCATGGCTGGGTCCCGGGGCAGTAAGGATAGAACCATCCCAAACCCTGTCAACCAGCAAAAGAAGAAAGGGCCCGAGAGGGAGATCAGAGACCCTGACCGGAGGCCGTGGCACAGCCGGAGGCAGTGAGAGGTTCTGGCACACAGAAAGTGAAGGTGCAGGTGCACAGCCAGCCCGGGGATGGAGACATGGAGGAGGCTGGACTGGAGCTGGGGCAGGTCTGGGGCACGTCGCAGCAGGGTTGGGGTGCACTCTCGTCCTCTTACTTCATCCGAGGGTGTTTCACTCCCAGGACCAGGGCTCTCTACCACCATGGCCATAGCACGGGGACCACTCAGCAAGCAGCGTGTCGGCCGAATGTGTCATCCGGACAGACATGCCCCCCTCTGCATCAGGACATGGGACATCAATATTCCCAGTGGCATTATTCCGAGCAACTCCCAGAGATACTAACTGAGCCACTTCAACGACAGAGCGGTT